CCGCCTTTGTCCCCCCCCCCCCCCTCACTGCCAACAGGCCCTCCCCCACTGGCTCATGGAGAGGGGCCGGAGCTGCTGGCTGCAGTGCTCCCTGGCAGAGGCGCCGTGGCCACAGCTGTCTAGTGCCCATCCTGGCTCTGCCCACTCACCCGCCGGGTAGCCAGGTGACCCTGCAGATAATGGCACCCGGACCAGAGCTCAGATGGAGGCATGGAGGAAGGAGAGTGTGTGTGTTTGTGGCTTTGCTGGCAGGGATGAGCCCTGCTGGGTGTGCCCCGACGAGACTTTCGGTCCATACCTGGGGCTTCGGCCGGGCACGTCCTGGGGCAGCTGCCCCCCGCTGCCGCCCGGCTGTGTTCTGGTTGTCGCACGCTGGTAGGTGCCGAGCTACCGTGGGTCTGTCTCCTGGAGCTGCAATTCACAGCTGCAGTGCCCTTAGCGTGTGGGGCTTGGCTCCGTGGGGCACCAACAACCAGTCCCCACGACTTCTGTCCATCCCGGGTCTGCTACTGGTCCCCCGCACCTCCCCTCCCCACTGTGCCGTTGCTTGTTCCATGCCTCTTGCTCCCACCCTGGGGCAGCAGGAGGTGCTGTCTCCCCGTCGGGGGCGATGGCACCACGGGCGCGCCCACGCGGGACATAACACTGCTCTGCTGCAGGGACACGGCGGGCCAGGAGCGGTACCAGACCATAACGAAGCAGTACTACCGACGAGCCCAGGTAACGCCGCCGCCCTGGCTGTGACGGCCATACCAGGGGCTGCGGGGTGGGCGGTGTGTGTCTCTATAGACCCTGAAGCTGGGAGCCAGGCCCAGAGTGGCACCTGTAAGACCTGCTGCTCAGGGGTGACCCCGGTAGATTCCAGGCCAGAATTTGGGCCCCGGCCTTCGCTGGCTGAGGAGCCGAGGGCCAGATGTGCTGTGCCAGGGACCGAGGGAGAGGCTGGGTAGCCGTGTGGGCAAATGGCACGGTGGGTATGGGGTTCTCAGGGGGCCACCGAGTGAATCGCTGCCCTGCAAGGTTTCTGTGTCCAGGGCTAGGCTGTCGGGTAGGGCAGGATCCCCCCTCCCCCAAAGAGCTCAATAGAAGGTGGAAGGACACAGGGTCAGGGAAGAGACCCCCCTCTTCAAAATCACCCAGCAGAGCACAGGCAGAGCTGGGGGTGGAACCCCGGTCTCCCAGCCCCCCGCCCCAAGGCCACCTGGGTTCCCTTATGGCTCTTTGTGGCTTGGCCTAAGCGGCCGCCAGGGCTGGTCACTGGGATGGTGGAAGGACTGTAGGTTAGAGATTTGTGCCGGGGCCATGGTATGCGGGAGGGTGGCGTGTCCTCTGCCCTGGTGCACTGTGGGTAAGGCCTCCTCTGCTCCCCTGTGCGCCGGGTCCCGTTGCAGGGGATATTCTTGGTCTACGACATCAGCAGCGAGCGCTCCTACCAGCACATAATGAAATGGGCCAGCGACGTGGATGAGGTGGGCGTCGGCTCAGAGCCGCTTGTCTTCCCTGGGGTCCTCCGGCTCTGGGGGGGGGCCCTCAGTGCGCGGGCAGGCGGGCTCCCTGCTGTGGGAGCCTGGCTCCCAGGAAATGCTACTTGAGCCACCGTGGCCAAGGCTGCCATTGGCTCTGGGGGTGATGGGTGCTCAGTGGAGACCCCTTGGAAGGGCTTGGCTCTCAGACGGGGCTGGGCACTGTCCTCTGGGTCCGGCTCAGCCAGCGGGTCCTAGCTGGGTCCCGGGTCACCTGTGGCTTCTGGAAGCCCGAGGGGGATCTCTGCAGTGAGGTTGGGGATATGTGGTGGGCAGTGCCCCAGTGCATGCTGGGAGCCCCGGGATCATGCGTTGGAGCAAGGGAAGATGCTGGGAGCCCCGGGATCATGCGTTGGAGCAAGGGAAGATGCTGGGAGCCCCGGGATCATGCGTTGGAGCAAGGGAAGATGCTGGGAGCCCCGGGATCATGCGTTGGAGCAAGGGAAGATGCTGGGAGCCCCGGGATCATGCGTTGGAGCAAGGGAAGATGCTGGGAGCCCCGGGATCATGCGTTGGAGCAAGGGAAGATGCTGGGAGCCCCGGGATCATGCGTTGGAGCAAGGGAAGATGCTGGGAGCCCCGGGATCATGCGTTGGAGCAAGGGAAGATGCTGGGAGCCCCGGGATCATGCGTTGGAGCAAGGGAAGATGCTGGGAGCCCCGGGATCATGCGTTGGAGCAAGGGAAGATGCTGGGAGCCCCGGGATCATGCGTTGGAGCAAGGGAAGATGCTGGGAGCCCCGGGATCATGCGTTGGAGCAAGGGAAGATGCTGGGAGCCCCGGGATCATGCGTTGGAGCAAGGGAAGATGCTGGGAGCCCCGGGATCATGCGTTGGAGCAAGGGAAGATGCTGGGAGCCCCGGGATCATGCGTTGGAGCAAGGGAAGATGCTGGGTGGCGCCCCAGTGCATGCTGGGAGCCCAGAGATCATGCAGCAGGGCTGGAGGAGAGCTAGGCAGTGCTCCGTTGCAGGGTCCTGTGGTGGAGCTCGGGGAGGGCTGGGTGGCGCCCCAGTGCATGCTGGGATGGGCTAACGAGTCCTCCCTTGCCCCCAGTATGCGCCGGATGGGGTCCAGAAGATCCTCATCGGGAACAAAGCGGACGAGGAGCAGAAGAGACAAGTGGGCAGGGAACAAGGCCTGCAGGTGAGTGCCGCTGTCGGCCTCACGCCACAGAGCACGTCCTGCTCCCCTCAGTAGGTGCCCATGGCCTGGCTCTCTGTGGGGCCCCGTCTCCCCCCCCACTCTGCCTTCCTGGCATGCAGGAGTGAGCGTGCATGTCTAGCGGGAGGGTGGGCTGGTCCCCACGGCACCGGGCTTGGCTTGTCAACCCTCTGAGCCCTGCTCTGTGGCTGTCTAAGGGACTCTCTTGCCTTCCAGCTGGCTAAGGAGTACGGCATGGACTTCTACGAAACAAGTGCCTGCACCAACGTCAACATTAAGGAGGTGAGAGCCCAGCAGTGTTCTGAGATGGGGGCAGGGTGTGGGGGGCAAGCTCCTTTCCTTTCCGTCAGACAGGCAAGCCTCGGAAAAGAGCCCAGAGTGGATTTTGAGTCAGTCCCTCCCCTCGTCTCCCGGGAGTTCTCCTTTGGCCCGGCTCATCTCCCAAGACGGTGGTGGCTGTCTTGTCCCATGACCGTTATCTCAGGCCACGAATCCGAGAATGACTTTGCAGCTGTGGGTTTCTGCAGCTGTGGACGCGGATGCCAATTGTGTACCCGCACAGAACTCTCTACATTTGGCAATGTGTACACGGTCCCTTGTAAGGGCTCGACCCAAGCTGTCCCGCCCTAAAAGCCTCACTTTCCTTGCAACAAGAACATGAGAATGGCCATCTCTGTGTCAGACCAATGGTCTATCTAGACCAGTATCCTATCGTCCGACAGTGACCAGTACCGGGTGCTTCAGAGGGAGTGAACAGGACAAGTCAATCATCAAGTGATTCCTCCCCCGTCATCCAGTGCCAGCTTCTGGCAGACATAACTTTAGGGACACCTAGCACATGGGGTTGCGTCCCTGACCCTGTGGGTTAATAGCCATTGATGGACCTGCCCTTGGTGAATTTATCTAGCTTTTTTCTGAACCCGGTTATACTTTTGGCCTTTACAACATCATCTGGCAGAGAGTTCCACAGGTTAACTGTGAAGAACTATCTTTCTTGTGTGTTAAACCTGCAGCCTGATAATTTCATTGGATGACCCCTACTTCTTGTGTCATGGGAAGGAGGAACTAAGACTTCCTTATTCACTTTCTCCACTCCATTTGTGATCCGATAGACCTGGGTCATATTCCTTCTTGGTCATCTCTTCTCTGAGCTGAACAGTCCCCGTCTTTTTAATCTCTCCTCGTATGGAAACTGTTTCATGGCCCCTAATCATTTTGTTGCCCTTCCCTGCACCTTTACCATTTCTAATATGTCTTTTTGGACATAGCAGGACCAGAACTGTAGCTGTGGGGGTACATGGATTTATAGCGTGGCACTGTGATATTTTCGATCTTATCATCTATCCCTTTCCTAAAGGTTTCTATCAGTGTTAGCTTCTGCTGCTGCACATTGAGCAGAGATTTTCAGACCATGACATTACGGTCTGTCTTGAGTGCTAACAACTAACTTAGCCCCCTCATTTTGTACGTACAGTTGGGATGACGTTTTCCAATGTTCATCACTTTGCACTTATCAACATGGAATTTCATCCGCCACCCCGTTTTGTGAAATCCCTTTGTAATTCTTCACAGCCCCCATTGGACCTCACCATCTTGAGCAACTTTGTCAAAAGCTTTCGGAAAGTCCAAGTACTCTGTGTCCCCTGGATTTCCCTTGTCCGCAGGCCTTGATGCCCTCCAAGAATCCTAGTGGATTGGAGAGGGGTGATTTCCCTTTACAAATAGGGTTGCCAGGTGTCCGGTATTGAACTGGACAGTTCGGTATTTTCGCCCCCCTCCCCCCCGGTCTGGTAAAAAAAAAAATTCAGAAAATACCGGACACCTAAAATGTCCTGTACTTTCTGATTTTTTCCCGGCCAAGAGGCGAAAATCCTGGGCTGTCCAGCTCAATACGGAGGCAGCCTGGCAACCCTAGTGCTTACCGGATTCCACAGAGGAGCTGTCCGGCCTGGTGTGTTTTTTGCTGTCGTCGTTGTTGGGTATTTTTCCTGAAACCATCTGGCAACCCTATTTACAAAACCCGTGTTGACTCTTCCCCAACAAATCCTGTTCATCTATATACCTGATACTTCTGTTCTTTACTCCAGTTTCAGCCTGTTTCCCTGAATTTAGCCCTACCAGTCTGTCACTCCAGGGATCGCCTCTGAAGGCTTTTAAAAAAATCGCTGTCACTGTAGCTACCTTCCAGGCATCACACCAGTTTACATCTCACGCTTAGTAATTCTGCAATTTTTCTTCAGAACTCTCGTGTGAATCCCGTCTGGTCCTGGTGACTCATCACAGTGTAATTTATTAGTTTATTCCAAACCTGCTTCTGTCGGCACCTCACTCGGGGACAGCTCCTCAGACAGTCACTTAAAAAGAATGACTCAGATGTGGGAATCTCCCTTCCATCCTCTGCAGGGAAGAGAGATACAAAGAATTCATTTCGCTTCTCTGCAATGGCTTTGTTTTCCTCCAGTGCTCCATTAGCGCCTGGATCGTCCAGCGGCCCCACCGGCTGCTTGGCAGCCTTCCTGCTTCTGATGTACGTAAAGAAAAATTGCCGTTAATTTTTATGTCTTTTGCAAATTTGCTCTTTAGATCCTTTTATGGCCAGCCTAGCATTTTAGTCTTGTCTCACGAGAGTTCATGCTACATTCAAAAGCATGGGCAGATATTAAGCTCTGTTCCCGACACTATTAGCTGAGTGGCTACATCTTGGTGCCATCTCTATTGATTTTCGTTCCTGTCCGCGGTCGCGGCTGTGACTTTCTGAGATGCTCTGATATCGGTCAGAGGATCTGCCATCTTTGGAACATTAATTCAGCCAATATTTCCCTTGATGGGGTGTCAATATCTTCCACAGTCAGCCCAACCCGAGTTCCCCGTCTTTGGCCAGGCCATCAGCTGCCTCGCTCCCACAATCACCGACCGGTGGTGGAATTCATTGATCAGTCAAGGAATTGCCTTCACATACACATACATCTATCTAGATGTCTCAAGAGATCTGCAACCTTCACACCAAGCAGGCAAGTCACCATACGGTTCTCCCGGTCATCACAAACCCAGCTATCTATGTTTCTAATAACTGAATCTTCCATTACTAACACTTACCTTTTCCTAATGACTGGAGTTCCTTCCCCGGGAGAGGTATCCTCAGTGCACAGTTAACCTGCGGAACTCCTTGCGAGAGGATGTGGTGAAGACTAGGACTTTAACAGGGTTCAAAAAAGAGCTAGATAGATTCATGGAGATTAGGTTAGACAGGATAGTAGGAACAGTGTCCCTAGCCTCTGCTTGTCTGGGCTGGGAAAAGATGACAGGAGAGGGATCACTTGATGATTATCTGTTTCTATTCACTCCCTCTGAGGCACCTGGCATTGGCCACTGTCAGCAGACAGGATACTGGGCTAGATGGACCTCTGGGCTACGTCTAGACTTCAAGCCTCTTTCGAAAAAGAGCGTCTAGACTACAACCAGTATTTTTGAAAAAGCGAGCCACTTTTTCGAAAGAGGGCACCCAGGCAGTCTGGATGCTGTCTTTTGAAAAAGCACAGTTTGCATTACATAGCGCCTTTTTTCGAAAGAGCACTTTCGAAAAAAGGCATTCTTCCTCGTAAAACGAGGTTTTCCGCGGTCGAAAAAGCTGCCGCGTTCTTTGGATTGACTTTCGACAGAACGCGGCAGCAGTCTGGACGCAGGTAAAGATTTTTCGAATAAAGGCCACTTTTTTCGGGAAATCCTTCTAGTCTAGACACACCCTTGGTCTGACCCAGTGTGGCCGTTCTTATGTTCTCCACCATCGGGGCCTCCCACTGTTGCTGGCCTGGAGTGAGTTCTGCCGGGCGGGCGTTCCCTCTCTGAGCCAGGATGGGCTAGCTGGGAAGAGGGGGAGGAAAGGAGAACGTGTGGCAGCCAGTGCTTGGAACTCTCCATTGTTTGCATTACTGTAGGCGTGACACTCAAGGAGAAGGGAGAGGACCCGGATAGAAGAGGGGGAGACCCGCATCTGAACCTGCCGGGGGGGGAGGGGGGAGCCCGCATCTGAACAGTAGCATGGGTTGGAGGAGGACATGGTGGCGGGAGCTGCTAGGCTGCCAGCCCGGCCGGGGCCCCTAACGCTGGGCTCTCTCCCGCAGTCCTTCACCCGGCTGACGGAGCTCGTGCTGCAGGCTCACAGGAAGGAGCTGGACGGGCTGCGCGCCTACGCGGCCGGTGAACTGAACTTGGCCGAGCTGGAGGAGGAGGAGGGCAAACCCGAGGGGGCGGAGAACTCTCCCAAAGCCTGCTGGTGCTGAAGGGCGTCTCTGCTGCCCGGGCCCCCCTGCCCCACCACCGGCAGGGGCATCCCCAGCTCTGGCTGGCCTGCTCTGCTCTGGCCTCTGCCCGCTCCCTGCGCTGCTGGAGTCCTCCGGCTCCCCAGTGTGTCTCCTCCGCTGTCCCCTGGGTCTGCCGTGCTCTGTCGAGTCCTCCCGCCGTGCTGTGTGCGCCAGACGTCCCGGGGTCACCCTGCTGGATTCGTGGCCCCCCACTGGAGCTGGATCAGCCTCACGTGACCCTCCTCAGAGGCCCGCGCCGGCGCCGGGTGGATTTTGCCTCTGGCCAGGCTCTCCAGGGAGTGCTTCCTTGTGCTCGCATGGGCTTTGCTGGAACAGGCCTGGCCCCACAGTAACCTGGGGAGGGAGGCTGGGAACCGCCCCTCCTGCCGGTGCCCTTCTCCAGGCGGGGCGTCCCCGGCTGGGGCTTCC